GATGTCTAGGCGACTAAAGGGCCGTTTACCAAACACTAATTCAGGTAAGTGAATATCAAGTCACATTATCTTACCGGATGAATATGGTAAGAACCAGAATCTTACCTAGTAAGAACGAGACAAGGACCAAGAGTTTTACCCGATAAGTGAGGGCGACGACTCTTACCATGGTAAGTGCTTACCAGATAAATTGTTGCATATGATACTATTTTGGCAGACTAAAATCTTACCTGGTAAGTAAATGATAGTGTTGTATTTTACTAGTAAACACTTACCGAATAAATGTTTGGTAAACGGCCCCTAAGCTTATTAGAAGGATACTCTCGTAAAGTTGCTAACGTATCTCAATTTTATTGTTTTGTTTTGTTTTGTTTTTTTGTATATAGATGTTATAATATGATTTTTTATGTGGTTTGATAAAACGATAATTATTTTATTTAAAAATAAAATAGAGTAAATTACATTTTTGGTCCTTGTGATTTATATGTTTTAACACTCTATATCCCTATTTTAATATATCTATGAAATTTGCATTTTATAACGTATTAGGTTCCTAAATCTAACTCCATCTAAAAAGTTTTGTTAACTCAATTAGTTTATAGGGGTATTTTTACAAACCATAAGGACAAAATACATAATTTATTTAAATTTAATAATGAAGTAATTTATTTTTGATTTAACAATATAATATTTTTTAAAGATAATAATTATTATATTAATTATGTTTTATATTTAAAATGAGATATTTATCATGTATTTGATTATGGTTACTTGCAATTAGTTACACAAATTCAAACATGAAACTTTAATAAGTTGTACTTAAGCACAATTTATTTGTAATATTATATTTTAAGTAATATGTATCAATAAACAATATTTTAAGCATAAAAAATGAGTTTTAATAGGTTTTTTGTCAAATACTTTATAATATAGTATAGACAAAATCGAACAATTTTTTTTTAATTTTCAGTCTTATTAATTATTACTTAATACCTCTAGCAAACACCCTCTTAGATTACTTCAGATCAATAGTTCTTTTTTTTCTAACTTCTAGTGAGAATTTTTTGAGTTGATTGGATAGAAATCGGTCTTTTTCAAACCATATAAAGCTCAAAGCGGTTTGGTTTCTATTATTATTAGTACTACTACTGCTATTATTAAGGGGCCGTTTACTAAATACTTACCTGGTAACCGCAAATTAGGTAACTTTCCTCACCTGATGCACATGGCAAGGGCTGAAAATCTTACCCGGTAAGAATGATAATAGGGATAGAGTCTTACCCGGTAAGTGATGGTGAGGACTTTCACACGGGTAAGCATTTACCGGGTAAATTGTTGCATACAATACCGTTTTAATATACTACAATCTTATCTGGTAAAATAGATTATAGTGTTGACTCCTATCAGTAAACGCTTACCGGGTAAATATTTAAGTAAACGACCCCTAATTCTACGTATGTTAGTATTTCACCTTCTTTGAAAATGGATCATACTAAAAGTCCTGTTTAGACTTTTTTGGAACAGAATAAACCAACAACACACTTTTTTGGGTTTTTTTCTTGGACAATAGACTGGGCTTTTCCGAGCTCCCGTGGCCAGTGATTTCTCAATAAATCGAGATTTGATATAGATGCGATATAAACGAGGTCTAACAAAATGAATATAAAAATAGTATTATATAGGTACTTTTTTTAAGTATATAATATTTATATACGACAAATAAAACAAATAAACTAACACACCATTCTCACCTTTAGTGAGGTTTGAACCCCTAACCTCTCAGGAGGACAAAGACTCACATACAGCTAGACCAAATACCATTTGATCATATAGGTATTCTTTAATGATGAGTTGTAGATACGAATGAGCACTGATCTATTTTCTTTTTCTTTTTTATTTATGCATATTTTTTGGAAAACAAATTTTATTACTGTTATAACACCATAATAAACATGTTAAAATACATTTGTTTTCTCTACATACACTGAGGAACTCTATTGCATGATTAATATCACATTATATATTAATCAATTAAGGGGTCGTTTACCAAACGCTTAATCGGGTAAGCGCTTACCAAGTTATACTACCTTATTATTGAATGAATATGACAATAATTAAGAATCTTACTCGGTAAGAACGAAGACAAGGACCAAGAGTCTTACCTATTAAGTGATAGCGACGACTCATACCATGATTAGTACTTACCAGATAAATTGTTGCACACGATACTATTTTGGTGGACTAAAATCTTACCTGTATATAAGTATATTATCAGAGTTACTAAACACAAAGACTTCTTTTTAGTCCATGCCAATTCCTTACAGTTTGCAGGGTCACAAAATATATGGGAAGCATGTGACCGAGATGAGAAAGAAAAACCGTATGGACTTAAAAGAACATCGGTAAGACCATTAGTTATTTAAGAAAGGATTTGAGAAAACAAGTTAGAGATAAAAATAACGCTTTATAAAAGATAGAACCAAACATTTATGAAATGAACATAAACAAGGGTTTATTTGTTTGCGGCTTAATTAGCTTAATGTGACTTGCAGATTATTCGATCAGTTATACATGATCGTTTGGTAGTGGTTTAATGATATAAAAATGGAATTTTCAGTAAAATTACAAGAGTGAACTTTATTTCAAATTAGAAACCCAGAGTGTTAAAAAAACACACTCCTTCCATATGTAAGAAAACATGCGAAATAAAATTTTCTAAATTTATATAGACAGATTAATCCACAGTTCTACACATACAACTTTATCTATACAAAATTTAATGAAAAACCAACCAAATAACCTCTAAGTAAAGGGGTTGTTTACCTAAATGCTTACCCGGTAAGTGCTTACTGTTAGGAGTCAACACTATAATTTGTTTTACTGGGTAAGATTGTAGTACACCAAAACGTATTCCACGCAACAATATTCCTGGTCAGTGCTTACCCGGATAAGAATAATCACCCTCACTTACCGGTAAGACTCTTCATCCTTATCCTCGGTCTTATCGGGTAAGATTTTTGGCCCTTCCATGTTCATCCGGTAAGGAAAATTACCGGATAAAGGTTTAGTAAACAGTCCCTAAATCTCTAGTGTAATGAGAAAATTAGAGGATTGGTAATGCAATCTGTCATCTTCAATTTTTTTAACCCATTGATTTGTTTAAAGTTTTCGTAAATTAAACTTGTAAAAGAAGTCGTAACCGATTTCGCTATACCACTATTTTCAGAGGGGTAGACCACAATGTTGGTTACAAAAGTGGAAGGACTGATATAAATATTAGTGAATGTCTAAGGACTATTTGTGTAATTATATGAGAGTGAATTACGAATTTGGTCCTTGTGATTTATGTGTTCTAACATTCTAGGTCCCTATTTTAAAATATCTATAGATTACATCTTTATAGTTTGCATTTTATAAGACATTAGTTTCTTAAATCGAAATCCATTCAAATTATTATGTTAACTCAGTTAGTACAAAGGGTTGTTTTAGTCATTTAATCATTTTTTGTTTTTTATTGAAACCATAGGGACTAATAATGTAATTTACTCTATCGTATTCATATATGTACATATCGTCGTCTCCCTCACGCCGGTGGTGGTCTTCCACAATTGCAGACGGCGTGAAGAAACTCATCCGACATATCTCTTTCTCTCGTGTCGCTGACTCCTCTCAACACTCTCGGTTGCCAAGTTCATCAAGAAGAAGCAGTGGAGGAGTACCCATGCCAGAGGGACATCTGCGTATTTATGCCGGAGATGAAATGAAACGATTCATAGTGAGCGCACATCAATAAATCGGCTCAAGAATAGGGTAACAACACAAAGGCGTTCTTTGCATCCCCTGTCATGTCCTCCTCTTCCAACTACTACTGGTGGTTAGGGTTTTTTCTCGATGGTTTCTCCTACTAATGATTTCTGCTACGATGTTTTGAATCATTTTCTGCAAGGGAGTCAGTTGCCCTATTTGAACGGTTTCCGCAATGGAGTCTAGTTGCCCTATTTGAACTGATTTGAATTGGTGGTGGGTGAAAAGACTGCTGCCGTTGAAAAGGATGGGCTTATTTTCGTTAAAGAGGATGAAGACCAGTTTTCATTGAAGAAGAGGGGTTTTGCATCGAGTTCTCACGAAACCTTCCTACCTCCTCTGGCCATCTTCAAATACAGTTTTGCATCGAGTTCATCAATGGACAATGGCCACATATTTTTATCAACTTCATCTATATAAAATGAGTTTGTATTTGATTTTGTTGCATTTAATCTGGTTTGTTCTTTAAATGAGAATGTTGTCGATGGCTTCGTGGATTTGATCTGATTTTGAATATGGATTTATTTGAGTTTGAATCTATTTTTGATCTTCATGTGTGGGCCTTTGATTTTGGTTTTCAGTTTTAGTTATCAGGGTTTGGATTTGGGTTGATTTGTTGTGTTCAGTTATGTTTGGTGTGTGATCTAGTATACGGTGGTCGGAGATGTGGTAGTGGCTGGAGAAGATGACCGGAAAAAGGAAAGGGGGTGTGATGTCTTACCGGAGAAAATGAAGAAGATAAAGTAAATGACATTCTTGGTCCCTATGGTTTAATAAATAAATAGAGTAAATTACATTGTTGGTCCCTATGATTTTAAGAATTAAATTAAATTAAATTCAGTGACTAAAATATATCTCTAAATTAATTGAGTTAAACATAAACTTTTTAATGACGTTAGATTTAGAGAACCAATGTCTTATAAAATACAAACTATAAGGATGTAATTTATAAATATTTCAAATTATAAACCCAAAGTGTTAAAATACATAAATTACAGGGACCAAATTTGTAATTCTCTCTAAGAGAAAAGAAGTTAACACATCGATTCTGTTTGGTCACGGACATATCATTGGCGAGAAGACTCTCTTTTGGACGGAAATTTCACCAGGTGAACTGGTAAGATCACTTCTTCTATGTCTCAAATCCCCTTCAGATCTGTCCATTTTATTGTTTATGATATTTGATTTACAAGCTCCGTCGCGAAAATCCTGTTACTATCTGTCACTAGTTGCCGATAACTGTATCGGAATCAGTTTAGCTCGCAAAGTAATCTTCGCATGGCGTTATATGCTGTTTACTTGCTTTGCTGGATCGGTAAGAATCAATATTTGACTAGGTATTTACTAAACTTGTCTTTATGATCCAAACTAGGTGTTTTTGGTTTCAGCAGCGGATCGAATCGTGTGTTAGAGGAAGTTCTTGTGAATGCTGAATTTCCTGGACGATATATAAGTCTGAGTGAGTCTACAGGTTTTGGTTCTTTTTTTTAAATTTGAATGTTTAATTTACATGTCGAGTATTTATGAAGATTAGGGAAGTTTGTTATGGATCACTGAGCGCGGGCGTTTTTTGTTTTGTAATTTTATATGTTTTTCAGGCTATTGTGGCTGATTTGCAGGGTAAAAGTGTATCAGCAGAGTAAGCTTTTCCTCCCTTCCTCTTGATCTCAAGAGTCGAATAGATCAGTTTTCAAAGTCCATAAGAASTGTTTGGTAAAGAAGACGACTACATGGACCATTTAATTCGCATGAGAAGAGTTAATTGACCTTTTGAAGTACATTCTCTGACACACAATGACACAAACTTCATTTTATTTTTTCAAAATGCAAAACACGCTTTCTAATACTGAGCAATTCTGGATAAGAAGTGCCGTATAATGTTTATTGTTTTTTCCATTTAATTTCTACAATTTCAACAATTTGTCTAAATTGCTCATTGTTGTAGACTACGTCTTTTTGTATTTTCACAAGAATGACAGGTCGTTTCTACAAAAAAGTTAAAAGTACAATGGTTTAAAAAGTGAGTAACTTAATTCAAAGACCATGAGGTTTGAATTTCAAAATCAAAAAGTGGTATCCATTATGGAATAGGAGTGCTTAACTAGATTTTGGTGGCCTTTGAGCAATTGGATATGCTGCCCAAACCAAACATACTTACATTAGCTTAAGAACATAAAGCTTGTAAGAAGATTTTGTCATGATGTATATGAGCAAAAGAAGATCAAAATCTGTATGCTATGCAAATTTTGAAGTCTGATAGAATTTATAAGATGTAAAACACTAATATACTGCACATCCCTTTAAACTATTTACTGGTTGATCATCCTTTCAGTTTAACAACTAGCATATTAATTTGCTGGTAATTACTAAAACTAACCAACAAGTCATACTTGGCTCAGTATGTACCTTACTGCAAACAAGTAGAAAAGGTCTAGAGATGAAGTAATCGTGGGGGAATGTACACTCTTGCTTTCGTTGTCAGAAAGGATTGGACTTTGAAGCTTCTTACTCCCTCTGGCACTATATATTGGTTGTTGCCCTCAACTGCACATGTGCCCTGTGCAGAGGGAGAATGGAGAGGGGGAATAGAGAGGGAGCAAAGTAGAAGGTTGTATAACATAGAGGAATAGGCTATTTGAACTAGAATTCTTCATACTGAAAATACATTGCTTTTGGTGTTTATCTCTTTGGTGCATTGGCACTATATTGGTTATTGCCCTCAGACATGATGGACTTTGAAGCTTCTTCTTACTACCCTATGATACTATATACTGGTAATCGCCCTCAACTGTGCATGTGCCCCTGCCCTGGGGGAGGGGGGTGAGGGGGAAGATAGAAGGTAGAGTAAGCAACATAGAAGGTTGTATAACATAGATGAACGGGCTATTTGGACCAGAATTCTCCACACTGGATCACATTCTTTCTGATATTTAATTTCTTTGGTGCATTGGCATTATTATAGTTTCTTATCCCTTTTTATCACACTGAGAAAAACAAGTTTCAAGCAGATGCTACGTTGCTACTGGGTCAGCTTCTTTTTGGCGCTTTCTTGTCTCTTGGGGGTTCTTCATGCAAGTGCTGGTGATGCTGATCCCTTATATAGGTAAAGCTTGTATTTTGGCCAACACAATGATGTTTTTATATTAACTATGCTTGGATTTCTTTCTTTGTTTTAAGTGGGAGAGGGGTCTGTTTTTACGTTTTCTCTTCGGCTGTTTCCAATTGGAAGACTTATCTTCGTGATATTATTCGAAGGCTTTGCAGCAATCCTGGTAACTTGGCGAAGGACTCCACCTTTTGGGATCTGATCTTCTACGACTTTTTGTTCTTTTTTCAATTTTAGCATGCTGCTAGTTTCTGAGCTTGTTGGACAAAGCTAATGATTTATGAAAAATGGCTTATAGCAGCCATTCTACCAAAAGTTAAGCATGCATCTGGCGAACAAATGTGCCTTTAGCACACAAAAGCTGCCATCTACAACAAATAAAATGTGATGGTGCAAACAATATTCTTTTGGTCATAAAGCTTATGTCTCTGCTGACTATTTAAGCACTGTTATAAGCAAAAGCCAAGAAGCCCTAGTGCACCCGTGTCACTTCATTTTAACATTCAAATTTCACTTGTTATCTTGGTCATTAATGGGTTTTCTCAAATGGTGGCTCAGATGGGGGTTGTTGAACACATATTTTGTTGTTCTTATTATTACATGAGTACAAGTTATATATTTAGATATTTAATTTGAATACAAAAGCTATGGATCAATGTCACTTGTTCTTCCGCTATGATGAATAGGCAAACTTATACATCTCTCTTTCACCTGATGTAGGTCTTGCCTAGGAGAATGTGAGAGAACTGGATGTGTGGGTGATATATGCTTTCCACACTGCAACTTCTCATCTGATGGTGCCTCACTTAACGGTCCTTGGTACATGCAAGAACCTCAGTATATACGGTGGAAACAATGGGACTGTCAAAGTGATTGCCGGTATCATTGTATGCTCAACAGGGAGAAAGACAGAGCAGCATCTGGTCACGAGCCTGTCAAGTATCATGGTAAATGGCCCTTCAAACGAGTATTCGGGATTCAGGTTTGTTACCATCAATCTTGTACCTCATAATCCCTTTATGGTTGAGGTCAAAGTTGATTTTGTTTACCATTTCTATCTTTATATTTTAGGTATTGACCCTGAGTAATGTCTTGTATTTGCCCAGGAGCCTGCGTCTGTAGTATTTTCTGCACTCAACCTGGCAATGCATTTTCATGGGTGGCTATCCTTTTTCGTACTTTTGCACTACAAACTGGCTAGTAAGTCAGATAGAAAGCCATACTATGATTATGCTGGTCTATGGCATCTATATGGGCTCCTAGCTTTGAACTCGTGGTTTTGGAGCGCTGTTTTCCACAGTCGGTGAGTTATAAGATGTACATTTATCTACCTACATACATTACATGTTTTTAAGGCATTACAAAGGCCCAGGTTGTTGAAAGTTAGTCTTCAAGTGTGGCAGCACTTGTCTCACATAGGAAAAACAGAAACTTTTGAAGGCTTAATAAACCCAATTTTCTTTGTTTAAATAAATTAATTGGTTACTGGTTCTGGATATATATGAGTTTGAGCTTAGCAATATGCATCGGCTAAATCTTTTATGTATGACAATAATAATAATAATAATAATAATCAAAGACTTGGCACCTTGTTATGGATAATGACATAAGACAGTTAATATCTACAACCATTAACTATCATTATGTAAATTGTAAATATGACCTTTGTAACACCCCATCCTACTAAACTTAAGATGAGACATGTCACAACCGAAAACGGATCAAAAGTCTACCATTTACAGTACAGAGCTCTAGTGAAACTTCCAAAAAAAACATTACAACCATTATATTACATAGCACTAACATAATCACCTAATAACATAGCAAAAACACTATATTCAACCGCTAGTCTTTTAGAATCCTAAGCCATCTCGACCCTTCATCCTGCCCCTAAGTTAGATTCTGAACCTGCCGAGGTAAAACAAAACAAACCTCAACTGAGCAAAAATTGCCTAGTGGACGAATAATAGCAAAAGAATATCAAATAGGAATAAATAACTGAAAGGAAACATTACGATACAAGTGAAATCAATTTAAGAGTAAATCTCTAAAAATTGAAAGTTATATAGTAAAAAAATTCAAGGTAAGAAGGTCATCCGTATCATTAGGATACGTTGTTCCCGATGGATGATCAGTCCAATCAGGCGTCGTAATGGAATGGAAGTTTCGGGCACTACACCATCACATTCCCCGGTAACTAGAGGTATCTGGTATTCGGCTCTATCCGGTAACCAATATAATTGGTATTCGGCTCTATCCGGTATTTGGTTCATAGGATGCATCCAACATTCTCTATTTGGCTTGGCCGTAGCCTTTATGAGAATGCCATGACTATTTTAGCCATCATGGGGGCGTCTCAACACCCGTGCCCCGAGTATTGAGCCTATTCAAAGTTAAGTCAATAAACTAAAACTCAAATAACCAAATCAATAACCAAACATTTGATAATAAGTCTAATAAAACCATTGAGGTTCCAATTTATATAAAATCGATCATGAGTCTTAAAACGTACCAGTAATGGTTTAGAGTATCAGGTACACAAAATTTATAAACCAAAACATCATATATCACATAAAAGAATTTCAGATACCAATTTGATCATCTCCCCTTTTGTGGATATGTGTCATGATTAAGATTTCATARAATGGATAATCACCACAATTGATTACCCACATATCAAAAGAAAGTAGATATTCGTACCTTGAAAGTGTTTTAAATATGATCAAACAAAATTCGAGGCTAATGAATGGTTCCCTCCTTTCAGATTACCTACACTTAAAAAAAGGGCTTTTAGACCATTTTCAATAACACTTCTCATCAACTTCAAGTTCCTACAAGCTATTACCTTTCATAGAATTTATGGACCATCAAACATGCTTAACATACCACTAGGACACTTAGTAAACATATAACACAATGCCTAGGACTAAAGACAACATTTGCTAAAATCAAATTTACAAAATCCAAACAGAAGCTAACAGGTTCTGTACACCAAAAGTTTAAGCCTTTTTCTCACACTTAGAGGCTGAAACAAACTTTCTTATAAAAACGACAGTTGTACATATACCTCTTAGGATTTCATACCAATTGAATTCACATAATTTGGAGTTCTGGTCTATTTTATATAGAATTTATACAAACAGAGTGCAATTTCGAGTGGCTGCAGACAGGGTCTGGAAAATCAAAGGTTTCAAGCCATGTATGGTTCGAATTAGGTTCTCAGTAAAATACAAAGTTGTAGATAACTCAAGCACCTTTCTAACGATATAAAGAACGCATCAATCGGACAAACGGTTGATTTTATATGAATTTTCAAACTTACAGTAACGAATCTGCCTCCTCTAACAGCACCAACTTGAAGAAATTTCGTCAATCTTCAATTTTTAACCTATGAATCATGAATCAACTTAGGGATTAACCATTGTCCTAAAGAAGAAGAAATCAGAAAAAAATAAACTATAGACATACCTTATCTTGAGTTCCTAGTTCCAATTATAACATCAATTCTTCAAAAACTCAAAGATTTAACAAGAAATTCCTAGGTTTATAGAGATGAGAGGAGGAATTTTTAGAGAGAGGTAGGAGAGATCTTAGAGTTAGAGAGAGGAAGAAGCCTGATTTAAAAAAAAAACAATTTCCTATATATATTTACAATATTTACTATCTAACCCTTGATCTTAAGCTTATTTGCAATATAATCGTACTTTGGCAATTTCCTTTACAATTTTGGTCCTAACCAAGATTGTTCTGACCAACTTAGAACTCAGATGAATTTTATGAAAATAACTAGGCCTAATAAACGACTCTTACAGACCAAGATATGAAACACTTAAGCACGATTTCACACTTGAACAAAATTGGTTCTCGATCAAGAGATTAGATTTACCAGATACGGGGTATTATAACCTTTATGATGAAATTATGCGTCTTCACTTCTCCTTTTTGTTCCCAGAAAAGATGTTCATAGATATCAAGGAACCTGATGTATTCTACATCTTAGATTAGGAAATCCTATGGGGATTTGCTGTAACCCAACATCAATATAGTGGAGGTTAAATGGCTAATATTATCCTAAGGAGAGTGATTATCATCAGTCTTCACGTCCTAATTTGATTTCTATTTCTCTTGTTTACCCTATTTCCAATAATATTGCTAACACAGGTTGGCTTGAGGTTACTCATCATTATCTCTTAGCTGCCCATCTTAATCAAAGTTTCCTGAAGCTAGAATTATTTGTGGGATTCCATGTTACTCCTTTCATTCAAGTGTTTGAATAATAGCCAATCTGATGGAAACAAAATACAAGCAGGTTCACTGCTACACATGCCATTACTTTTTTCAGGGATCATATTCAATTACAGTGCCCAAAATCCTTCCCTGATTCCTTTCTAAGAGGTCTAGATGAGATATTGTCTCTGCAACTTGGTTTGTTGATAGATGGGGTTCCTAGTAAGTCTTATGTACTTCCATTTATCGTCTTGCCACACAGAATTATCTTAATGCATCTATACCAGAACTAGTAGGCGTTCCTTTACATTTTGAGAGTTTTTGGAGGTTGACATTGCTATGAGGATTCCTTTTCGTCTTAAAGGTCATCTTCCTTTTTCGTTTTGATCTGCTTGAATTGCATGTTGCTAGGACAGCTTTGTATGTGGATTCTTGAGTTTGGTAATTTTTCTATTGGATAACTTGCAGGTCTAATGTTGGCCGCAAAGACCATATTTGTGCCTTTTTTAGCGTCTCCATGTAACATTAGAAAGATTAGAAAAGAAAGATAAACAGAAAAGAGACTATGGTCACACTTCTGTTTTATTGGCCGTGCAATAATGTGAATACAAGTATTAGTTTGGATGAAGAAAACTAGGAGGATATGAAGAATATGCAAAAATGCTAACAGTTACACAATCTATTTAGGCCTATGAACTTTGTGTAATAACTAATATGATATTTCAGCTGATCAACTTCAAAACTTCAACAGAATGCCTTTGAACTTGTCTATGTGCACTGTGTATATTGACTTTTGGCCCTTTCCAGGGGAACATATGACTAGTTTTTGATTACCATCTGATAGTTAATTGCTCTTTATGTACAGCATATTTCTTTCTTTCTTAGTTGACTATGAAGAATCTTTTTCCTGATTTAATCAAAAACTTGGTTGCGTTAAAGGGTGTATATATATATTGATTTTATTTATATAATTTATATTTCTCTCTCCCACCCCACCCCACCCTTCTCTCCCCCCCATTTTCCATACTTCTTTTCCAATCCCTTGTTCCATAACCTCTCTGCCACATGAACTGCACCGCCCCGATCCTATATTCATTCCCATCTGATTAATATATACGTTTATATGTATCTGTATGTACTTATAGATGCATATAAAGGTGTCTGTGGGAGTTTCAACAATTTTCTGTAAGAGTCAAACTCTTGGTTCAGGAGGTAGCATATATGAATTTCATATGTTTGACAGTTTGAGTTTGTGCTTTGAAAATATTTGGTTTACATGAGCAGTGTGGGAAGTGACGACGTTGAATGGCACCAAATTTCTTACTAAAAACTCAAGCATTTGGGATCAATTTCTTGAAATTAGTTATTACTTCTGTTTATAGGGCAGGGATTAGCTAATTAGAACTTTAGGCATACATGGAGAAATGTTCTTAGTTTTCAGGGTGGAATATGGTGAAGAACAAAGGGGTGGGATGGCCTTGGGGAAAGACCAGTTAAGAGTGTTCAAAGAAACAAAAGTACATTTAACTAAAAAAGTAAAATATTACGCTCAACTGTAAATCAACTCAAATCAAGTTAGAAATTGTAAGTGGTTTGTATCTTAAAGCGAAGTAACTCATACCTGATGCAAAATGACTGTCTTTTCACACGACAAAAACACATGACATTCATTATGGTTAAAATGCTCACTTTAAGAAGTTAATCGAGAAAAGATCACTAGAAAAGGTCTGATCCTACTGGTTTAAAATATTTAAAGGCCTATAGTCGATGTCTTATGGTTCACAAACCCAAATTAATTTCTCATTCAGAGTTAATGAGCCCAATTGATAATATGAAGTGCCCCAATTTCAAATGGGGCGTGGACAAAGCTAGAAACCAGTGGTTGCTTGGTTTTGTCATGCACATCCATTTCCCGTTATGCTAGTTAGATAAGTATCTCATACTTATTTTTGTTTCCATTTTACAGCTTATTATCCTGAACTAGTTAACTAATCAATCAATATGAACTCAGTTTTGTGACCATATTTAGAACTTACCAGTATCTCCTTTTGGTCCTTATAAACTGAGATTGCATGATGATAACGTTTATAAATTTTGTTAATATACAGAGATGTGGAGTGGACAGAAAAGCTAGACTACTTTTCAGCAATCGCCTTGCTTGGATACTCACTCATCGTAGCCATATTAAGAAGTTTTAATGTGAGGCTGGAGGCTGCAAGAGTCATGGTTTCTGCTCCATTGCTTGCATTTGTTACCACCCACATATTGTACCTCAACAACTACAAACTGGATTATGGTATCTTTCCTGTATCTAGTTAACCTGAAATCATACCCCCTCCGACCCAAAATAAGGGTGCGTTCGGTATCTGGACAGGGTAGAACATGACAGTAAAGTTGTTTAGTGTTTCGTAAGACAGAAATGGACAGGACGGAACAGACAAAATGACCAATTTATCCCTAATGAGTTGTTTATATATTTTGATTAATACAATAAATAAAATTTAAAGAATACAATAAATAAAATTTAAAGAACGAATAAGATGACCAATATATTTTGAGGTTATATTGGTAAAACATAAGTTTGTTCCACCTTGTTCCATGGGGTGGGGGTGGAACACGCCTGTTCCACTTTGTTCCTTTCTGTACCACATAAAAGTCCTGCCAAACGTGAAACAGTGATCCATATTCTGTCCTGTCCAATGTACCAAACGCACCCTAAGTGTTCGTGCTCACATTCCTATTTTAGTTTGTTCCAAAATAATGGTCCACTTCTAAAAGTAAGTGCCTACTTTCCAATTCTAACGGAATTTCATTATTCCTCTATGATTAAGGATAAAATTGTCATTTAGTTGATTAAAAAAATGTGCCTTCTCATTGTGGGACAGTTGGTTTTGGTACGGATAGAGTAGTATTTATGCCAAAGCCTGGTTCAATGATGTAACTTTTTCATTTACGAAAATTGGTAGGTTGGAACATGAAAGTGTGCATTACAATGGGGGTGGCACAGCTCGTGATCTGGGCTGTATGGGGAGGAGTGAGTGGTCATCCTTCCCGTTGGAAAGTATGGTTTGTGGTAGTGGCAGGAGCAGCTGCAATGCTGTTAGAGATATATGATTTCCCTCCATACGAAGGATTTGTGGACGCACATGCTGTTTGGCATGCAACAACCATCCCTCTGACTTATCTGTGGTGGAGTTTCATCAAGGACGATGCTGAATTTAGAACATCCATTCTATCGAAGAAGCTGAAATAGCATCTTGGAAGCCTCTGCCAGGTAAGGAATCAATCCTAGCTACTGATTTTTGTTATGTGTATCTTGATTTGTTTGAGCCAACAACCCTTCTTGGTCCAATCAGAAAAGCACTAATTGGTTAAACTCGATGACCCATTATTGGAAATTCACATAAACAACCGTTCTACTCAGATTTTATTGGGTCAGTTTAGTTTTTATTTGAATTGGTTACTGCCTATTGAGAATTTTAGTCTTGGATCACATAGCCGTTGGATTAGAGATATGATAAATGATCAAAATAGGATAAGGATTTTTATTTTAATTAATATCATTTAAAACTAATTATAAACTAGTGTTAAAGTTTAGAATTTTAGTAAAGTAAAATTATCTTTCAATTTACTGATAACCGAACCGAATAGTCTGAAACCCAATAACCCGAATCTTATTTGATTTGGTTTGTTTGGAGAATGTTGAACACCGAATGAACCAATTAAAATTAGAGGAGTTTTCTAAGGTGGTCGAAGTAAAGGCCATTTACTAATGCTAATTGGGTAAGCGCTTACCGGCAAGATCAATCACCCTCACTTACCTTATTGCGTAACATTCTCGACCATAAAATGGATTGTTGGTAAGCGTCTTAAACCCGGTATGTGCTTATTGGGTAAGAGTCTTTTTCCTCTTTTACCGAGTAAGACTCTCGTTCTTTGTTATGCCTTTTACCAGGTAAGATTCTTGGTCCTTCCAATACTTAGTTGGTAAGGTAAATGATATCGTTAAGCACTTATGTCGATAAGTGTTTAGTAAACAATCCCTAATTGATTGAATTAAAACACTAACATTCTTCTATTAATGTATTAATACGATTACAAAAACATATTATGAAATAATGATCCATCTTTTTTAAGGTCATGATTTTAAGAGGTTTTAGACAATTAAACATAATTTGGATGATTTTCAAATCATCCGACCAAGCTTATATGGTTTTTAGCTAAAATATGTATTTTTGTATCATTAAGGGGCTGTTTACCCAAATGCTTACATGGTAAGTGTTTTAACGATAGGAGTCAATACTATAATATATTTTGATGCGTAAGATTTTAGTACATCAAAACACATTAAATGCAACAATTTACCGGGTAAATAGTCGTAATCTTTACTTACCGGGTAAGACTCTCCATCCTTCTCATCGCTCTTACCCGGTAAGATTGTTGGCCATTGTCATGTTCATTCGTTGAAGAAATTTATCCGGTAAGCACTTACCAAGTAAGCGTTTAATAAACGGCTCCTAAGTCTCATAAAAGTAAAATTACAACCATAATCAACATAATTTTGAGGATCAAAGCTACTTTTCTTTCTACAAATACTAAGGGGGTGTTTGATTCAGCCATGAGATAGAAATGAAAATTACAGTTAATGAAAATGGAAAACAATTAAAGGGAGAGTTCAATAAACCGTTAACCGATATTTATTAGCAATTATTTATTCGGTTGATAACGTAATTTGCCCACGATTGATATTATGTATATACCATTATGGACATGTTCTAGTCAGTAAGAAGGATTTGATCACCTTCATGTTGCATGTCGTGGATGCATGCTATGTTTGTCTAATCATGGTATCTGATTTTGGTCATCTTAATCCCAAATAAGCAAGTTTATTGTTTTATAATAAAAGTTGATGATATTGGAACAATATTAATCTGTAATTTTGTTAGACGGTAAAGAACCTGATGATACCATCGAACGAACTCTTAGGGGTTCACAATACATACTTAGGGTTGTAGACTGATGATACCATCGAACGAACAGCCTGTTCTTTGTGAATCGACTCATCATTCAATGAACAATATAAAGTGTTAGATTCAAATTTCGGAACAAATGGGACTGTTATAGCAGATGCGACACATCGCCACCCACCATGGTCGTTGGTATCGAAAATGCATTGTGAGTTGAAGATCGTTCAATATAATACGAAAAGAGAGTTCCATTCGACTCTATTTGTTAAACTTTCTATGCAAATATGAAAAATGTACCCAAGTTGGTAAAAAGGAAACTAGGGTACACGGAATGTTTGTTCACAACAAATTCAATAACTTTTTACAAGATAAAAACACAACTTATCGATCAATCTTCATAATTAATATATTAACAAACAACAGTTTAATTGGTAGAATGTTTGTATTAATGACGTGAGTATAGATTTTTGTCTTCCAAAACTAATGTAGATGCAATTTTTCCAAAAAGATGATATCACAATGGCAATTGGATGTGTTGGGTTGGCTTGTGATCTTTTCATTTGTGTGTGGTCGTTGATTCTATCGTCATCATTTTCCCTCAAATTTGTCAGCACATACGATTGTGTATATACATATGCTTTTCTATATGTACATCTAAACCTTACTAATGCTTTTCAAATGGAAGTGTACCCATGTAATATAGACTAGTGATGGCCAAACCGGCTCAGGACCGGGATAGGTAAGGACGGTTATAGGACCGAAATCTGGGACCGGTTATGGATTTGGGGTGTTTCGTGGGACCTGGACCGGTTATGGACCGGCCCGGCCCGATTTTATAAAAATGCAGCTAATTTTTTAAATGTAGCCGTTTTTTGTGGCCCATTTTTTGTATTTTTTTTGCTTTCTAAACACTATATATAAGTGTCTTGGTTGAGGGATTTACATACCAAGTTTCGATTCGCAAAAAACGCAAAAAAAGGTTCACATTTATCGATTTATCGCTATATTTTGTAAGACAATTTAATTTTAATTATAATAAAACGCATTCTTAAAGTGTGTTTGAGTGACCTAATAACAAATTTTATAATGTATTAAAAATATATATCATTAAAAAATAAAAAAATGATTTTTTAATGACCGGGACCGGCGGTCCATAACCGATTACAATTAAGCTTGACCGGGCTCAACTTTTTCGATCGGGACCGGGACCGATTATGGCCGATTATGAGAAATTTTGGGACCGGTTTTTCGCCATCACTAAATTATAGATGATGTAATAATAATTCTAAGTTTAGATTCTTACAAATGTAGCCCATGTTTTTCTTCTTCTAAATAATCATTACAAACATCAATTTTAAAAATAATTAATATTTATTCTATTATTTTTCAGAAATAGCTACATTATAATTATAGAGGGAAGATCAAACGATAACGTTAAATATTTAAAAGAATACGAAAACGGCTCAATCATGTGTAAAATCACATTAACGGCAAAAGAAAGTGTGCGGGTAGCCCTATGGTTGCGTCTTTAGGCTATAGGGCAACGTCGCAAGATTCACATGCGATTTTGTACGTGATGTTATTCTTTTAAATAGTCTTCCTCAACTCGACTCTCATTTGAACCCGACTCTCGTTTAAAATCAAAATTTCCGGCCGTTCTATTATCTTAAAATCACATGATCAAGCGTCCTGAAATTAGTTTTGCTACAAACACTTCGTTAATGAGAGTTAGGGAATTTGAGGACGCCTGACCAAGAGGAGATCGCATGATATAGCCACTGTACGACAAAAAGGATATGGAGGATGACTGTGTGTACTCTCCAATCTTTAGTCTTTCTTGACATCAACACCAAAATATACTTTTTTGATCAAACGGATCGATCACTCCTCAACCAACTTAAGAGACTTGTTTCATAGTTCCTATTGAACGATAAATCCAAAACTTATTTTGCATTAGTCTCACATCAAAATGGCCAAGGCTATAGTTACATTGACTTGAGATCATTATCTTTATTTTGCTAGTCTTTTTGGTTCTATAAGTATATTTTTGGAGATTTTATTAAATTATATATCATAGTTTTAAATAATTCGTTATGGACTTGTTATTGTATCAAGGCTTCGTTTCGCCGTTACGTTAACCCATGTGGATTCACTCTAAAGCTTGGTTTCCATTGTAACACGTAATGACGTGTTATGTAGCGTTACAACGCGTTTTTTTGTAAGATGTGGGCTTTTTTAATATATAACTTGAGGGATAAATGATAACTATGTCTGATTACCCAAGATTTAAATAAACATAGAAACTAAATTTAACAGCTAAAAGCCTAAATAGGTCAATACCTACTCTTGTTCCCATACATATAGACTTGAACACAAATTCTTTGAAAATTGAAAAAAAAAATATGGTGAGTTGAGATTCAAGAAATTTAATCTTTATTTTGCAACCTTTTAATACAAGCTTTTATATGCTCTGTATATTTGATATTAATGGTTTTTCTTTCATTCTTAGTTTTATTACTTTATATGAATTTAATTTGTCATACGTTATTATTCGAAACAATATATATGTGTGTGTGTGTGTGTGTATACGATTGGGTCCGGTGAGAAGAAAAGTTTTGATTGGAAGCGTAAGAATAGATCTTCACCCTTAGATCAATCATAATTGAATGTCAACACTCAACACCAATGAGGTACACCAAGATGCACCAGATCAATTCCATTCATGAGTGTGGACATGAGATTAAAAGTGATCGAGAGTTCAGATCTCTTCTTACGCTTCTCGTAATAACTTTCTTTCTCACACGATTTGTACAAATTGGGTGGTTTGCATTTGATCGCTCATATATATATATATATATATATATATATATATATGGAGGTTCAAACGAGAACCCCTGTGATTTACGAGAACGCGAGAACAACCCAATAACCTCAAACTTTTTTAATTAATAAATTAACTTTTATTATATATAAATAATTTAATAAGGACAATAATGTAATTAAGTAATTTTTATAATTTTTATTTTATTTTAATTAAYCATAATTATCTTTTCACGTTCCACGTTTTACTCTTGGTGGTTATCTTTTTCTCCTTCGTTCATGCTTCTTCTCCTTCTCGTTCATGATAATCTCCAGATAGTCGATGGCTTAACATCTTTTCTTCATATCACACCTCTATCACATAAGTATCACACTCATATCATATGATTATCACACCCATATTATATGATTACACCAAAATTTTAACTTATCAACCAAAACGATAACCCAAGTGATGTATAACAGTGATTATCACNCTTATCACATGATTATCACACCCAAATCACATGATGACACCAAAATTTTAACTTATCAACCAAAACGTTAACCCAAGTGATGTATAACGGTGATTATCCCCTATCACATAAGTATCACACCCATATCACATGATTATCACACCCATATCACATGATTATC